TTTGCGTCCAAGTGTGCCCAGCAAACACACACTGAAGTCCCCATGAATGACTGGAGCGCTTCCAGCTGACAGCCGCATCTCTGCTCACCGCCAATGGCAGCACACCCAGCCTGGGAAGCACTGACATCATTTCTGGCCAATAGCAGCTCTGAAAAGGGATGCAGCAGCAGCCACTGCTGCCGTCTTAGAGTGAGATAAGTAATATATAGAAGGATGGAAATGTGTGTATACACACACCCCATCACTGCACTGGAGACCTGCTCCCCCAGGGCAGTGGTAGCAGTGCACTCCACCACCCCACTGTACAAGCTGGGGTGCTTGTCCCACCTTACAGCACCCAGATGTTCTCAGCCATCAACCCCAGCTGCACCCCACCCCTGCCAGCTAGACATAATTGCTCCAGAGCTGCCACAAAGGAGCACAGACAAGGGGAGAGAAGACCCTGTGGGTAGCCAGGACCAGCCCTAGGAAGGGCTTTGAATGCCAGGACAAAGATCTTGGGTCAAGGTCTGTCTTCAGTGGGGACTAATGGAGATGTGGTATACCCAAGAGATGCCTTCAGTCACCCATGGGGTGGACAGATGGGCTGGTGCCTTCTCAGAGGCCATTTAGATGCCCAGAGTCATTGCAGGACAGAGGAACAAATGGTTTCTTTTCCATATGGATATCAAGATCAGTAGGATGGACTGGCTCATCATCAGGGCATACAGCAAGCCCATAACAACTTGAGGGTTGTTTGTGGTGGGATTTTCTCGTTGTGGTCACACAGGAGGGACTAACCATTCTCGGGTGGTACGTGGCAGCTGGACTGGCGAGTGCAGTAGTCCTGCACCAGGCAGGCACGCAGACTGGTTCTTGGGTTTGCCATGATGCTGGCGGTCTTGCAGCAAGGATGTTTACTCTGAAATACTTCACTGAAGTAGCCCATTGCCAGGTACAGAAGAAACAGAAAAGACCCCTCACGCAATTCTGGGGCTTTTCCCCCCATATATCTGTTCCCAAAGGCTAGTTACTCCATTTCCTCCCAGTTCTGCTTCCCCGGCCCCACTGCTGCTCCAGCAGCCAGAGCAGGGGTGGAAGACTCCAGAAGGGGCTGGGATTTCCCTAGTGAGGGTCCCAGCACAGGGCAGGCAGCACAAGAGCAGGAGGGAGAGCAGATGCGCTGGGTGCCCCGCGGTTAGTCAGATGTTATCAGCAGAGGAGCAGGGTGGGGTGCGAGTACACCTTGCTCTCCAAGCTGACTTCATCCTCAGCTGCAACTCCTCCAGATTTGGGAGGGGAGAGCAGGAAAGCAGTCTGCAAATCGCTCCTGTTTCATAAGATTACCTTTGCAAGGAGAGAAAGACAGACACCAGCCTTTGAAGCTCTCCTTACACCAGGCAGAGCAACAGCCACTGTTTTACATGTGCCACAGCTGTCAGCACCCTCCATTCCCCCAGCTCTTGCCTTCCACTGCCAGTTCCAGTCCTCGCCCCTCAGCTGGGACTGGAAGCACTTATTCCCCCAGGAAAGCGGGCAGGGGTGGAGAGCCCCAGGAATCGTCTCTTTGTGGGGGCTGTCCCCATTGCATGGCAGCAGCAGAGGATTCCCCAGCCCCAGGACTGAGAAACAGCCCATCAGGGTGCTGAACGTGACGGAGGAGTTCTCCTTTCTCCAGCCAAGCCAGCTTGGCTGCTGGTTGGGATTCCTCAAGCAGAGCTTGGCATCGTCTCTGGCAGCTCCTGAGCTGGTTTATCTGGTGCGGCTGGTTCGGAGAACTGCTCTAATCCCCATTTCTTCCCGCTTAGCTGGAAGAGGCCTTGGGGCTCTCTGTGCAGGAGGCCAGCACCACACACCTGAGCTAGGTGCTAGTGGAAGTCAAGGCTCTTCCCCACACCCAACCCACCAGTATGCAAGACCTCACGTTGGACTGTACATCTTTTGATGTCCTCTTGGCGCAGCCAAGAGTGCCAAGCAGTGCCCTTTTCAGCGCGGCGCTCAGACATCCGCTTACACGCTCCTGACAGCGCTCGGCTGGCCTGCACCGCCTTGCCAGCACCCGCGCCTCGGCGTCCAGCCAGCTGGCAGCCTGCAAGCCGGCCTCCTCCGAGACACGCTACCGAGCAGAGTGGAGAAAAGCCGGTCACTCACTGCTGAAGGGCTCAGGGACTGGAGGAAGCACGTCCCTTCACAGGATGGTCTTCTGCACCAAGGGCTTGCAGCAAGCCCAGCTCCCACACAGAGAGGGGTCCAGCCAGGTGATTTTGGCAGCAACTAGTGCTTATTAGAAGAGTGAGAGAGACTCACAATGAAGACCAGTCCCCAGAGTCGCATCACCCCAAGGAAAAGGGCTCCCCATGATCAGTCTCCTGCTGCCTCCTGGCTACCGTACCCACACAGTCACCCCAAGCAGTGGGCTTTTTGGTGGCCGTGCAAATCAAATGGGATCTCATTGTCTCAGCCAAGAAGCCAAAGGGACAGTGCCCTCCACATGGCTGGAGAAGGTGGCTTGTAGCACCCTCCGCTCATGACTGGCCTGCCGCCCTCCCCCATCTGCAAGATGCAAAACCTCCCTTGCCTCTCCCAAACCTCCTGTTTTCTCCCACTAGCTTAGCACCTGGCTCCTGGCATGGATGCCAGCCGGCTGCTGCCCAAATCCAGGCTTGGAGATGCCGGGCACTGCTCAGCTGGGTTTGTGTTTTCTTATCCTGCACATTTGCATGGGGAGGATTTGGGGGAAAACCCAGATGTACAACGCTGAGCAGAACAGGCGCTAATCCCCGCTCCGGGGGTGGCAAGGAGCAGGGGGGGGTGGGCAGTGCCGGCTCCAAACCGCTCCCGGCTCAGCTCCGACAGCTTTAGCTTGCACAGACAGGAGAGGATCCCAGGAGGTCCCTCCCTGCCCCAGACTTTGGGGTGAGCCATGCCGCAGGGAGGGTGCTGCAGCCAAGGGTCCCCCACTGCCGCTTAGGGCCAAGCCAGGTCTGCTCAGTGGCAATGGATGGGTTGTCATGGAAACGGCATCTGCTCGGCCTCAGCCCCCCAGGGAGGCAGCCGGACCTCAGCAGCATCCGCCGGCTACCATTTATTTTTAATAGGGCTCAGCAGCGTCGCGTGGCTTTGTCTCCATGAGGGCCCCAGAGCAGCAGTGAGCGCTTGGCTCCCTGCAACCCTCGGTCAGGAGGAGACAACCTACATGTCTCCTGGTTCAGGTTCTCACAGCTTCAGCGAGTGGGACCTTCTCATGGGGAGGATAAACACGGTCAGATGAGCAAGTCTGAGTTCAGTCCATACTGTTTTCAGAGGCCGCTTCCACTGTCCCAGCACCTTTTGACTCAACAGGAGTTGGGAAGGGAGGAACAGGGGCAGGTCTAGACTGGTGAGGGCAAGCCCTGGAGAGCACGGTCCATCACACTGGCCCTTCGCAGCCTCCTTCCCCTACCCAGGCTAGAGCAGGGTCCCTGGGACAGCATCACTGCCTGGCTTGGCTGATGAATGCCACTACCATGGGGGATGGAGCATCTCCCCCAGGGAAGGGGGGGACCACAGTCAGGGTCCTGCTGAGGGACTTGGTGGGGTCCCAGGAGCACCCCAAGAGAAGTGGGTACAAGGCAGGAGAGCAGCACAGTGCTCTACACTTTTCCCTGTGCACAACTGTTAGAGGAGCAGAGGGAATCAATATGGGACACAGAGGATGAGGTGCTGGGCAGAGGGGTCAGCTCCAAAGCAAGTCCCCAGTGCATTGGCATGGGGCTGCAGCCCCCAATGCTCCCAGGGAACCAGCTGCCGCTGGAGGCCAGCCATGAGTGCCAGCCTGCTCCCCTGGCAGTGCCAGCAGAGTTTCAAGCCTGTGCCTGTCCTCCAAGATGCCAGCAGCATCCTGCCCTAACAAGTGCCAAGGAGCTGGGCCAGCCTACAGTGCCTCCTCACACTGGCACTACCACCAGAGGTGGAGCCAGGCCACCAAGCCACCCTCACTCACGGGAGCAGTGGAACAGAACACCGCAGCAGCCCCATCCAATGTCCCTGGTACACAGCAGTGGCACATACATCCCCCTTGCAGGGCAGCACACATCTGGGATGGGGGGTAACCCAAGAGTCCTGGCTTCCAAGCCTTGCTCCACCACACAGTGCTGCCAAGGCACTAGTGTTGGCACCACAGCAGGACTCATCTCAAAGCTGCCATGCTGACTGGGGGAACCGACCTCACGTGCAGAGCACGCAGCAACCCCGAGCCTGCGCTCGCCTCCCCAGACAAGCACCAGCTCCACTGTGCTGGCAGCTCAGCATCCTCAGCTGCCCTCTGGGAATGTTGGCCAAGCGGCAGGCAGGGAGCGCAGCAGGCTCCAGCCAACAGGAGACATGACGCCATCCCTTATCTCTCCAGGGGGAAGGGAGGGGGCAAATTGCATCCTCCAGGCTCAGGTGCACCAGTGCTGGTAAAAGCTAATTTCAATGCAGAAGATTCCCTTTACATTTGTCATTACTATTCATGCCACCATCAGGCTAAACAGAGCGAGTTAACCCTTTGGAGGAAGGACTGTGGTGGATGTTTCAAGGAGGAGGAATAATACAGGTTTCCTCCTGGAAAAGTGCTTCTCATGGCGTTTCAGCCCTGGATATGTTTGAGAGGGAGCTGGGGCAGGTTTTCTCCTGCCCAACCACACTCAGCTCTGAGCTGGAGCAGTGGGGTAGCACACTAGGAACAGGGTGGTCAGGCATGACTGGGACATGCCACTGGGAGACCCTCCAAGTGCTCCTGGTGGCAGGACCTGACCATCAACAGACATATTACCCCACCCGCATCCTTTGCCACAAGCAGCAATCCTCACACACAGCTCTGAGTTACCTGTCCCCCTGGGGACAGGTCTGCTTCTGGCAGATGGCATCACCAGTGCCCACACCATGGAGGGTCCCACAGTCCTCACATGGGGACCCTGCCAGCCCATCCCAGGATCAGCCCTTCCCTCCCCAGACCCTGCACTGCTGCGCTGACTAATGCTCTTTCCTCCCCTGTACAGTTCTCCAAGGAGAAATACATCCTCGACTCGTCACCAGAGAAGCTTCACAAGGAGCTGGAAGAGGAGCTGAAGCTGAGCAGCACTGACCTGCGCAGTCATGCTTGGTACCACGGCCGCATCCCCCGGGAGGTGAGGAGGGGAAGGTGGGTGGCTCTGGGCACCCTTTGCTTGGGCTGCTCAGGGAGAGCACCCTGAGGCCACACAGGCCCAGCAGCTTCCCAGGAGGAAGCTGGTGGTTAAGGGCTTCATTAGCTGAGCTGCCTGGTTTTGCCATGGGAAATGCTCCCCTGCAGCTCAGAGCCAGGGGCAAGGGGAACAAGCCAGTGCCCCAGATAACACCTAGTGGAACATCCACCCATGCCCTCAGTCCATCCAGTCTGAGCCACTGCCCTGTCCCCTGCCAGGTGTCAGAGAGCCTCGTGCAGAGGAACGGCGACTTCCTCATCCGCGACTCGCTCACCAGCCTGGGTGACTATGTGCTGACGTGCCGCTGGCGCAATGAGCCCCTCCACTTCAAGATCAACAAAGTGACAGTCAAGTCCAGCGAAGGCCATACCCGCGTCCAGTACCTTTTTGAGCAGGAGAGCTTTGACAATGTGCCTGCCCTCGTCCGCTTCTACGTGGGCAACCGCAAGGCCATCTCCGAGCAGAGCGGAGCTATTGTCTACTGCCCCATCAACCGCACCTTCCCCCTGCGCTACCTGGAAGCCAGCTACGGGCTGGCCAACGGCAAGCATGGGGGATCCCACAGCCCCGTCAGCCAGAAAGGTGGGCACATCAAGAGGAGGAGCATCACCATGACAGACGGCCTGACAGCAGACAAGATCACCAGGGCTGAGGGTTGCCCAACCAGGTGAGCACATGGTCTCATCCCAGCTCAGCTGGGCAGAGGACCAGCCCCTGGGAAAGAGGCAGGGCCACACTTGGTCCCTGCTCCCTGGTTGCAGGGGTTTGGGCTTGGGGATCGAAACTGTCCCTGCTCAGGTGTGGAGAGACACCAACAAAGTATGGGGGTAAGAACCAGTACCCAGCTGGAACTGGGGTTTTGTCCCAGGCCAGCCACACTGCGCTACCACAGCAGACACCCAGTGAGCAGACATGACTTTAGCATCACAGGCCAGAAGCCAGAGAGTGTTTTACAATCACCCAGCCCAGGATTACCAGCATGTCAGGGCTTGGCAGAGCCAGGGAGCCAAACTTTCCTAGGCAGATGCCAGGGGAGAGCCAGTCCCAGCCACCAAAAGGGCATTTGTTGATTTGCTTTTGAAGGGCCTTTTTAGTTTTAGAGTCCTTTCTGTTCAGCTGGAGCATTTGCAAGGAGTTATCAAACAGAGCTGAAAGCCTGATGGGCCAGAAGAGACTGATGGAGCTGTGCTGATGGAGGTCTGCACAGCCCCTGCACGGCTGATCCACTCATGTTAACCCTGGAGTGGTTTGGCTTCTCTGGAGGTGGAGAAGGAGATTTCCTTTGCACAGCTTGCTTTCAGCAGCCCCAGGCTGCCCAGAGCCCGGCAGGGAGGGCAGCACCACACATGTAGCAGCCAAGGGGGACCCATCTACTCCTGCCTCCCTAGTGGGACACAGCCTGTTGTTGAGCCAAGCTACTTTCTCACCACCCTGACCTTCTCAGCCCAAGGGCAGGGTGAGAACATGCCAGAAGAAAACAGGCAACCAACTGTCATGGCAGGGAAAAGGAAAACACTCAAACTTCCAGAAGAGCATATGCGTTTCCAGAAGAAGAGCCCAGATCTATCAGTCTTTCCTCACCACTCATATTTTCCCCAAACCCCTTATCACCACCACTGTTCTCCCAACCTTCTCACGCTGTAGAGGCATAGCACTCAAGACCACACACATCATGGCAGCCCAGCCCTCACCCATGGCAGAGAGCACAGTGAATTACCTGCCATTCCTCCTTGCAACCTTCCCTGTGCACAGCCCCCCCAACACACAGCAGCTTTTACAACACCATTGACATGCAGTGTTTGCATCAGGTCACAACTGCTGCCCCACCAGCCCAAGACCTCCTTGCTTGCTATGCAGCTGCTTGTGCACACACACTGCAGCTCACTGACTCCATCAGGAACCTGCTGGGCTCCGAGTCCAGCTTCCAGGTACTTCCTACCTCTCCCAAGCTTTGGGTCACAGCAACAGCTCACCTAACCATCCCAGCACAGGTCACCTAACCAACCTTGCAGCACAACACTAGAAAAACTACCCTCCATGACTTTTTTGCCAGACCCACTTCCCCACAGCACCCATGAGCATAGCCACCTCACCCCAACATACCATAGCACCAGGGCATCCCTCTCCCATGCTCCACATGACCAAACTCCCCAGAAGCAGGGCTGTCTATCCTTTATATAGGTACTGACCCCTTCTGGTCCCAGCTGCCTGCAGGGACTGCCCACTCATTGCTCCAGCTGAGCTCGTTATGGGTTCAGCTTGTTATGGGTAGTTGTGGAAGGAGGCGATGACCCAAGGGGACGTGATGGGACAGTAAACCCTCATCACAGCCCCTCTGCCCTTGCCTGGACCCTGTCTGCAGGGACTAACTTGCCCCATCTGCCCCCCTCCCCAGTGTGTCCCTGCCCCATCACAGAGACATCATTCGCAACTGTGCCGTCAGCGTGGACCAGATCCAAGACCTGCACTCCCCGATGTCCCCCATCTCCGAGAACCCAGCGTCACCTGCCTATAGCACGGGTAGGCATCGCCCCTCCATCCCACTGGGGGCAGTGGGGACGTGGGTCAGGCTGGGCTTGGCGTGGGTGTGACGCAGGGACCTGGGGAGGGGGATGGAGCTGGCTCTAAAGACAAGCCCCTGTGTCACTCCTTGCTAGCGAAACCCCATCCAGGTCTTTGCATGGCAAAGAAAACTGTCCTGATGGAGGGCTCAAGCTCAGGAGGGCACCTCATCCAGTCCTCATCTGCTTGTCGTGCAGGTGTCCTGGGACCGGCTGAGTCCATTTGGGCAGCAGGGCTTTCCCTGAGCTCCATGTCCACGGGCTGCTGCATCTGTGGCCCCTATGCGTGTGCCTGTCTCCAGGCTCTGATAACAGGGTCTCCTCTGCTCCCTACAGTTACACGGCTAAAACCGCATGCCTGCCAAGCCGCTGGGATTGTCCCGGCCTCTCCAGTCATAAGAAGGTCCAGCGAGCCCCAGCTGTGCCCAGGGAACAACAGCAAACCTCTGCCAGACCACAGCACCCACTCGACTCCCTGCCATGGGTATGCCCATGCCTCCCCCTCTCCCTCCGTGAACAGCTACAGTGACCCGGACACGGGGCATTACTGCCAGCTCCACCCCACCTCACCCATCAGCAGAGACCGGCCAGCTCATGACACCAAGCAGCTGCCAGCAAAGAGCTATGTGGAGAGGCTAAAGGTGGAGGAAGGACAGAGAGGGACTGTGGAGAATGGCTCTGGGGAAGCAGAGGCAGGGCAGAGGCTGAAAGGAGAGCTGGACTTCATGGGCTTTGTGCCCCCCACCATGGAGACAACCTCCTCCTTCAACCCCGTGGCCTTCCAGTCACTGCTTATCCCCCTGGAGAACAAACCCCTGGAGATGGCTGTGCTCAAGAAGGTCAAAGAGCTGCTGGCAGAGGTGGACGTGAAGACACTGGCCAAACACATCACCAAAGTGGACTGCCTGGTACGGCCGGGGCCAGGCGGGAGGGACAGGCACTGCTGCCCTCTGATTGCTCTGGGTTGGCATGGGAATCAGAGCACCCCCGAGCATGAGGACACCCC